CCATGGATTGAACTTATTAGTCATACGCGAATTAAATGAATCAATCCAGTATTATATTTGGAAGACGTTTCATGGGTGAACTGAAGAGTCTTCTGAGACATCACTCAATCTCATCCAATAATTTTCCTCTGGAACAATTTATTATGTACCAAATTAATTGAGACTGAAATAACTAGCTGTTGCTTGTGACTTTGTTCACATGGAATTCAGTTTCCTCAGATCTACTAACAGCACAATTTTGTAATTTACTTGTTTTATAGGAAATTTTCTTTACTATAACTAGACTAGAATGAGAGGTAAATGAGAAAAACGTATTTGCTTGGAAAACTCTGTTCCAGTATATTTTAAAAAAATGTTTTCATAAAAGCATACTTAATGAAACATGACAACAGTTAATAAATTATTTTTTATTATATAAATATAGGTCTCTATTATCTTGAAAGGTGATTGTTATTTTAAAACATGTGGTGCAACAGTAGTCAAATAGTGAACAAAAAGTTAAAAATATTTGATTCTACACTCTTCAAGAAATAAGTGCATAGTGATTTGGCACATTGGTCTTATAAAAAACGACAGAAATCTTGGCGTTTGCCCTTATTTTTGATGAAAGATGAAAATATGACGATTTTGTGCATTTAATTTAATTAACTACAGCCATGTGTGATGTAATATCATGTAAAATGCAGTTATGAAGTACTAAACCTTGCATAATTTCTGTCATAACCATTTCTCACTTCTACTCATATTGGTCTTCATGTAGAAATTGTGCTCAGCGTACAAAATGATAAATATTTCAATATTTGTAATACTGTTCGGGTTGCAAAAAGTAGTTTCTTAAAAACATGACAAATATCTTAGTATTTATTCCATGCAAGCATATTCTTTGTGGATTTGTATTTCAACTGGAAAGTGAGAAAATATGTTTTCATCACAAGGAACGACACACAGCTATTTGACGCGCCATTAAATTTCTTCCAGAGTTTTTAAGTGGCTGAAGCAGAAACTCTTCGAATATCTGATTGACTACCAACCAAAATGACAATGAATGAAGAAAAAAGTATTAGCTTTCTTGATACCTCATCCCAAATCAAAACAAAATTTGGTTTCAGAACGTCCAAAAGACACAAAGACAATGCTCACTCAACTTTGAAAATTTTACTCACAGCTGAAATAGGTGTGTAGGCTTTTGAATGCTTCAATAACAAAATACTCCTACTAAAACTTGAAAATTATGGACTTAGGTACTGTGGTTCAAATAACTAGTTATCAAGTCTAAACGGAAGGTAAGTTTCAACAAACTTGTGGCCATTCCACAAGGTTCTTTTTTTTGGCCAACTACTTTTTTAACTGTATAATCTGGCTGATTATCCATTGGAGGAAATTTCACAATTTCTGCAGATGACAGACACATCGATACTATGGTAAAATGATAATCCAAATACCTTACAAAATAGTTCAGAAAGGGACCTACTGAAAGTCAAAGGATATTGTGATGAGAACTTCTTTTATTGTATCTGAAACCAATATAGTTATTTTAAAATGTGTGCGAGTCTCATTGTTCTTCAGCAAAACACGCCTTGTATGGAATTGAAAATAAAAAATTTTACCATAACTAAAACTTTTTCTAAAAATTTGTAGAGGTCCGCTGAAACTTTTGAATTGTATAAATCATTACCAGCTGACTGACACTGTATTGTATGACGTTTCTTGTGAAATGATACTACATGACAAATCAAATTATCGGCAGTTTATTAAACCCTGAATAATTTCTATCAGATAAGTTCAATCTGAACAGAAACACAATATAAAATTCTCACAATGAAGTGTAAAGCTGATCGTTAATTTGCATTAATTATCATCAAGAATCAGAATCATTTATTCATCACAAAATAATACATATTGTGTGGTGAAAACTACAGAATATGTAACTTATCGGACTAGTCAAAAAGATATTTGTATATAAAATAGATTGAATAAAATTGATAAAATATAGACAATATATATATGAAACAGCTGTCTACCGGTAGCTCCTAAATTGAAATCAATATGGGAGTGATCAAGAAGTACTTATCTATTTATTTTTTGATTTTCATGGAATTATTTTCCAACAGCTTGACTGCTGCTATATATACTATATATAAAATTTGACAACGAATTCAGTTGAGGTTTGTACAACTATAATTTTAAAATAAAATCAGGAGATATGTTGATATTCTAGTCCTAACTGCTGACTTGCTACCGTCCATCAAGTCCATCAGAAAAAGGAAATATTATAACCAATCTGCTGAACAAACTTGAAAGATAAAGAAATTTATATTGTGTTCATCTACATTTCAATGCCATAAAAACAAAATTGCTTCCTGATATGTCTATGACAGAAAGTGTTCTATGCAAACATAAATCAGTTTAATCATATGATTTTATGAGTTATATGCTTTCTGATAAAAATAGAATCAAAATATTCATCTTTAATCAACAATTCAAAACTACCAATGATTACAGAAAGAACAAAATCCGGGCTGCTAGGCCAAAGAAGGAGATAGTTACTGGAAGTTAACACATACACCACTGAAGATGTCTGCTGCGGTAGCAAATGAAATGTTCAATACCACAAGTTTATTTTGAGCACAGCCTACCAGCTCGGATTTTGTTCTTTCTATTCGTCACTCTGGCTGTGAGAGCCTATGTTCTTATAGTAACAGTGACTATGTTTATCTTGACAGCATCATGAGTATAGATAGCGAGATTGAACCATTCAGTTATATTCAACTAACTTGGAATTTCGAATATTTTTGCCCAATATGACAGTGAGAATGTTGAATAAAAAAAAGTAAGTCAAATTGAATTGAATACTGAAACCAAATAATAAGTAAGGCTTTCGGTCAGGTTCCATTAAACTTGTCGTTTTTCGGGATTGTTAACTATTTATTTCTTTGCCTCAAATTCAAATTGGATAAATTCTCATAAGTTTTGTATTTCACACTAGACATCTGAAACGCAAAATAAATAACATAGATATTGTTTTCAAATGGCAAACAAATGACAAAATATTTCAATATTGAACAAAAATGTGGATACTTATTTTCCCATAGAGCTCTTTGTTTAAATCTATTTTAATTATAAATACTGTTTTATTGAAAATACTTTTCCGACATCAGAACAAAAGTTCTGTCTCCCAACGCGTGTTTCGATAACCAAGTTAGAATCATCAGGAGATAACTAAATCATCTCCTGATGATGCTAATTTGGTTAGCGGAACGCGTGTTGAGCAAAGTTCTTCAAAAAACAGTATTTTTATTCTGGTATGAGAAAAGTGTTTTCAATAGATTAATTTTACGCCAGAGGTTACAAATTACTACTTATCATAAATATAAATTACGTATTCTCCACTAAGAATTACGAGAAAACTGGAAATCAACAAAACATACATTTCGTTCGGAATATCAGTGAGTTGATATTCAATATAGAGACTTTAGAACAGACAACACTTCAGATTTGAATAGTAAGACAGGGTGATCAAAGGCAACATTACTTTCAAAGAATGTAAACTTTCACGGCCGGTGATATCTGTGTCAAAGCAATTTTCGCTCATAGTCTGAAGGTTTTTATGCCTTACGTTTCGTCTATTACTGCGGTAGACATTATCAAAGGCGATGAAGTAACGGTCGAAATGCTCAAGTAGTTCCTAACGCGTTAACTATGATGCTGCTATTTGACTTTGGTTTTATATTATTATTAGTGGTTTTTCTTAATTGCATTACCTGACTTTGTTAATGTTCATTGCCTCTTCTTTTCTATTGAAATTATATCTGTTTTTGAATTTCTATTGCCTGTCTATTTACTTTTGGATAGTAATTTTGAGTTTTTAGAGTATTACTGTATTTTCAAATGAGACAATGTGAGTTCCTTCTTTAAGAGCATGTTCGGCTACAGCTGAAGTCCTTAGCTAACCTTATACTTTCTCCGATAGTTTTTCTTGGCCTGAGTAATAGTTTCATGTTGTGTTTCTCTAAAATTGTCCCAATCCCGTCTGTAACATTTTTAACATAGAGAAGGAAAAATTATTCCCTTAACACGCCTAGCTGGGGGTCACTTTGGCGTTCTCTTTTCCGAATCATATGGCCTGCTTGAATCCTACTTCGCAGTACCCATACGCATTAAAAACATTTTTTAGATAATTGAGTTCCTCAGGAAGACTCTCAGGTTCACAGATGCATTGTGCTCTCTCAGTCATTGTTTTAATTACTCTTTCTTTTGTAGTGTCTGGTGGTTAGTTTTTATTCAGGTACCTGTCTGTGTGTATTGGTTGTTTGGTCCAATGTATCATCTTCACGTCTGTTCACAAGAACATCCAAGAAGGCTATTATAGTCTCTTGGGTTTTACTTACCATTGTGAATTGGATTTTTGTGTTGAGAGAGTTTAGATATAATAGAAAGTCGTTTAGTGTCTAGTAGTTATCAACATGTATGTACAAATTTATTTGTGATATTTACCTTTCCAACTCTATGTCTGGGCCATGGTTTGTAGAGTTTGTGAAGAAATAAATAACGCAGTCAAAAAAATGTTTTAACGGCCACTTGCTCTCTACGGTTCGTTGTTCAAAATTTTCCATGAAAAAGTTCGCCATCCCCAGATTTAATAAACTGCTCATTGCGGTACCATCCGTTTATTTGGCCACTTGCTCTAAGGCCCGTTGATCAAAATTTTCCATGAGAAAGTTCGCTTATCGCCAGATTTAATAAACTGCTCATTGGGTTCCATCCGTTTGTTCGTAAAAAACACCATCCTACTGGAAATTACTTGATGATGAACAACAAGCGAACGGGGCGAATATATCTGCTAATCTGCCGATTAGCCTTAATCGGAACCATCGTGTACAAGGAAACCACGTAGAAACTCTCTAGTATGTCTCCAGAACCTTACTTCCCGAGTCTTCAATAAATGACTGTTTTTTCTACGAGCAGCTGCAGTAGATTGTCAAGTATTTGGCCAGCTCATAAGTTGGTGAACCTATCGCATTCACGATAGGTCTAAGTGTCACATTCTCTTTATGGTACGGAGGTACGAATCCGACTGAGTCTTTTATATGTCCCTGTAGATCACAACCAAAAATCCTGGAAAATAACTTCGACACAATATTACTTTCATTAAACAGTTGTTTTAATGCACGAAAAGGCCATTACAGAGTTTTCACATCATGTCTTAATTTTTATTTGCTAAGAGATTTTTTACATTTGTAACCTACAGCTTTTGAAATCATTGAATCATCAAATTCAATTCAATCACCACCACCCTTAAAGCGAAATATTGGAGAAGTATTCATACATATGGAATGGTATTACCTTTATCTTTTCATTGACAGACTTGCCATAGAATGAAAAATTCTGTTTTTGAATCTGATAGGGGACATTGAATTGTTAAATTTTCAGTGAATTTAGTTTCTTTGAAAATTTAATTTTCATTTTTATATCCACACTTTTGTAATATAAGCTTTCTATTACATGTATTGTTTTTTTACAGTAAGTATGACACGAGTAAATCACATGAATTTAAGTAATTTTAGTTTTCTCTGTAATATTTCCTTCATGAATTTATTACCATTTATTCAGTTCAGTAACTTGTATGCCTCGAATAAATTGGATTGGATACAATTAAATCAAGTAGACTAATATTGAGAAGATAAACCTAGCCACTGCCTTCAGTTTTTTTGTCAAAAACCACTTTTCTCATAGTGACATGGAGATGTACATTCATTTAGTGTACTATGTGAATGGAATATTTGAATTCAATTGGATTTTTCAAAGAAAATGAAAAGAAATTACTTTTTAGCAAACCCTATTACAAAACATGATTTTTTCAGAGGTAACTTTAAACCTGCATTTTTATACTGATGTCTGGATATCAGTAGGTGACTGCTTTCTTTGAAGTCCTATGTAATTCACTAATTTTATTTATATTCTGTTTCATAAATATTTTAGATTTACAATGATACACACATTTATAGATATTAATACCAATGAAACCAATACAGTGATGATACGTGATACAATTTTTAGTGACCATAACATGCGAAATTAATAAGTAGGTATCATTAAAATAGCGACCCACAATTACTCATTAACGAAAGAAACACTTTCTCCCTTCTTACAATTGTATGCAATTAATTATACATACCTGCAATTTTAGAATTTGTGTTATTAGGTTAGTTTTGACTAGATAAGAACATATGACTTGAAGTTGTAAATATAATCGGCACCAATGCATATCAATACCTCAATTATTACCAGAACAAATTTATTATTGAATCCCATCATAAACTTTAGATATTTTTTAACGACTTTTAAATGCTTGGATACAAGTTCACCTTGTATTTTTTGTTAATAGACTAGATAAAAAATAAGGCATCTTGACCTTCCCTTCAAACAGGTGGAGGTTCTTTGACAAATTCACTATACATTGTTTTACCAGCCATTTTCAGAATAGCCTTGCTCTCTACATTTCCATCAAGAATACCAACTCGTTCTCCCTTCTCTTGCGGTGTTGGTGGAGGCTGTCCCAATCCCCAAACTTCAAGGTGTCTGAATGTGAATTCCTTTGAAAGAGACATCTGTTGATAACCAGTATAGGTTGTGCACGATTGACTTGTTTCTCCTTTGCCATATTCGCTGTCTATCCAAAGACCCCAGTAGCCATGTTGACCTCCCATTGCCTTGAGAAAACAAAGATTCTCATATAAAGTTTAAAAATACTATTTTAATGGTATGCATTCTTTCATCTAAATTTTATTATATATTTGGTTAACAGAAAAACCCGATACTGTTTTTGAAATAGAACACCCTGTGTATTTCCACATTTTTGTGTTGATTTTGAACAGGTTTTTAGATAAACTGTTTCAAACAGAAAATGATGTGGTTTCTTTGTCATTCATTACTTATTTTTGAAATTTAACAGATTCCATTCGATATTCCTTCATCAGTGACAAAACTTCTCTTCAAACAATTTTATTAACACTGACACACGAACTGAAAAAAAATTCATGAATTAGTAAGTTAATTCATATGTCAGTGTTATTTAAGAATATGTTTGAACACATCTCCCCTCTATTTAAAAATTTCATATCTTCCATTTTGTTACGGGGTTGGATTAAACCATATTTTTAATGAAACCCCCACACAAATCAAATCTAATGGATTGCCACTTGGTATTCTAGGAGGCCAATGAAAAGTTTCATTAGTACCAATCCATCTGTCTTTGAAGATTTCAGTTAAAGCTTCGCTTACTGAACAATTATGGTGTGGAGCACCATTCATTTGGTACCATTCACGTTCTCTTCCTGGTCTATTGAATTGTCAAGTAGGGTATACATATCTCCCTTTCAGCCTTGTGTAGAGAAGCATTTGGAAATGCATAAAAAAAAACCAAAACTGTTATGCTATTGCTATCATCATTCACTCTAAAGCTTTCTAGCTTTCTGCCAATGATTTTTGGACGAAAGGTCCCACTCAACCTACAGTTTTTTAGTAGTCGATTTATTTAAAAAAATATGGTCCAATTATTTGGTTATGTAATAACCTACACCAAACATTTGTCTTGAATGAAAATTGGTGACGGCATTCTATTACAAAATTTGGATTATTAATGGACTACTAGCGACAATTTTGGAAACGACAGTTCTCTTTGACGTGAAGGTTGCCTCGTCTGTCCATAAAATCCTGAAGCGAAATGAGATATCATCTTCTCTCTTACCTTGGAACCAAAATGAAAATCCTACTCGAATATCGAAATTTCTATCTTTAAGAGTGTGTATGAACTTTAGCTTATAGGGATGGAATTTATTTTTGTACAAAATTCTTCTCACAGTTTCTCTGCCAACCCCTGTATCTTCACTAATACTCCTAATATTAGTTTTTCCGTTTTCAACAACGCTCAAAAAACATTGAGTTGTTTTTCTTCATTATACTTTATTGGATTATGTGGTTTCTTGAAACGATTGTCCTCAGAGCCAGTTTCTTTGAATGTTTTCAATATCCCTCCCACGGTTCTAAAGTGAAAATTTCTTCCTGGATGCCGGCGATTGAAAATACAAGCAACATATCGATATGGCACATTCTCATCACATAAAAGAACGATTTCCACTTTGTCCTGTGTGGATGACATTGTACTTATTTGTGAATTATAATTGTACGAAAATCTGTACACAAAACAACTCGATTCATTAAATGCAATAATCTGACATTAACCAAAACTAAAAATTTGTTATGAAAGCCTACTAAGGGAAAATTTTATTTCGATTTGATCAGTACCTACTATTTTCTTCCCGACATGTTGCATTAGTTTTGTAATGTTTAAAATCACGAAATTTGATATTATGATTATTACAAATCGTTAAAATGAAAGTCATGAATAGTTATGAAACTGTAGGTCAATGTTTAGTTTACAGAAAAGTATATTTCGGGTTAGATTGTACTTAAATTATTGGCCAGGAAAATAATCAAACTGAATAATAATCAATTAAAACAAGGAATACGAGTGTAATAAGAATGAAGAGAAATACGTTTATTCGATTACTGACATGTTAACGTACATACATACATTGAAAATCCGAATCAGTTTCACAATGGAATGAAAAAACTATATGAACTTTGCAACAACAAAAACGAATTTCCGGAGGTGTATTTATTTCTTTTTTTAATTTGTACTCATTTTTCAAGCACAAACTAACTGTAAAGTCAAATTTTCATTATATCAATTAATAAAAAAAAAACTTCCATATGAATGAATTGTCTGGTTTTTCTTATAATGTTATCCATATTGGTACTGAAGAGCTAGGGCAAGTGTCTTACATCGAAACATCGATGTCTATCAGTGAGGATGACAGTGTTCCATGTAAGTGAAATTTTTACTTTTCATTTAGTATATTGTTTGGGAATCCTGTGAATCATATCTAATTCAATTCCATAACGAATATTTGTAATACAAACTGAGTAGAGAAAAGTATTTTTGTATAATTCATATGAAAGTATTTGTTTTTTTTTCTTTCGTGTAATTCAATGTTTATATGGAAGTAGGTGTTTCAGAAGGGCTTTTTCTTCCAGTTGGTATGTGAAAGTTACTTCTTTGCATGATTTACACATCTATGTACGTTGTTTAAAAAATATGTTGCTGTATTGTATTGAGTTACTTATTTTAAAATTGATTACTTCCTTCCTTTCCTTGGAAGATTCCCTCATTCCCTTGTTTTTTGTATCAAGATGGAGTAGTAGAAAGCCAAAAACTTTCTTTCCCAAAAAAAGCATCAGAAACTGTTGATATACATTCAATTTGTCCTATCTGCTGATAACCAATAAGTATCTGTAGTTAGTTCTATTGAAACACATAGGGGTCCACACTTAACTGAAAAGAGACAGATAGAACCACCTTACAAAAGAGAACATGTCATCTTTATCCCCCACTTTCCATAGATAAGACAAAAAAGGAAAATATGTATTGCTAAAAGTCTAGGCTCTAAAGTTTTATGGCTTTGAACATCATATTTTTCTACTGAATTGATGTGTTTGGTTTTCACTTACTAATCCTGAAAAATGAGAAATTAAACTTTCTACGTTTTTACCACTTTTATTTGTAACTAACGTTATTGCAGTTTCGTCCTATATGGACGTCCTATAAGAACAAAACTGCAGTAACATTAGTTACACTAGAAAGTTTCATTTCTCATGATGATCTTGTACCACATAGTAACGGCTACATCCATCAATTTACTTACTAATCCGTTTGGTAAAGTCTGCTGATGCAAATTGAGATATTGAAAATGTTGATTGTACCCTGTAGATGGAAATACTCTCATTCGTGGCGCCAATGTGAATAAGAAGCTACTGTCGTCTCCATAAAATTTCGGACTCAACTCCCAGTTTGCTGGCGCAAATCCACCAAACATGTATCCATTCTTATCCTCTACTATCAAAACTGAAGGTCCTTGATTGACTATTCTTCCTGAAAGAAGTGAATTGAGTATTGAGAATGAGTTTATTGATACTGTAAAAATTAAGTTTTTTTCGTTTATCTTCAAATGATACAAATATTATATTCAAAATTTATAAACACAATTTTTACAATTTGGTATAATCTACTATCTACAAATTTGATATTAACTATCGATAAATAAATAATTATTTCAATAAATATTCCATGTGGGAATTAAGGAAACCTTTCAAAAATTTTAAATTCAGAATGATGCAAAAGTATCTGCCTGTTAAAACTTTTGTTAAATCTCTGTAGTTTTATATTTCCATTATTGACATCATACAGATATTCTATTGAGTAGAGAAAAGTATTTTTGTATAATTCATATGAAAGTATTTGTTTTTTTTTCTTTCGTGTAATTCAATGTTTATATGAAAGTAGGTGTTTCAGAAGGGTTTTTTCTTCCAGTTAGTATGTGAAAGTTACTTCTTTGCATGATTTACACATCTATGTATGTTGTTTAAAAAATATGTTGCTGTATTGTATTGAGTTACTTATTTTGCAATTGATTGCTTTCTTCCTTTCTTTGGAAGATTCCCACTTTTTTTGTATTAAGACGGAGTAGTAGTATTGAGTTGTAATATCCACAAATAATAAATAGTGAAATAATCTAAAGGATATGCGGTTGGTTACCTCGTTGACAGGCAGATGGAGCAATGAAAAACCTGTTGTTTGTTGTCTGCTTCAGCTTAGTTTGAGGAATGATACTCTGAAGGAATTCGATTTTCAATTATCGGAAATCATCGACTTGATGATAGACACTACCATACACTGACGAGTGGCCAAACAGCCCAAAATCGGTCTGCAAGTGTGTTCCAATAATTGAAAATCTATTGCGGCAGTTGTATCGCTAACAGCACATGCAGAAATAACTTCAGTGAAGAATCCTGCATTGACACCTGTCGGATATAATACAACGTCGTTCGTGGTATTAGCCAGGGGAGTAGTTGCTCTCTGATAGATCTCAGTTCATCAACCTACCGTGTAGGGAAGTGAGACTGGCCTGAACAAATTATTCCTTTAGATATGTGTGTTTAAAATATGTTTTTTCCGTTAACCAGCTATCGCACCCCTACGAACGACAACCCTCAGAAGTTGAAACTTGTGTGAGTGGACTAACAAGGTCTTACCTTTTAACGAGTGATTCCCAGTCTTCAAATATACCCACTGACTATATGTGAAAAATAAATAGTGGTATGGTTTGGTAATTTAAAACAGAGAAAGGTTCCGAGTTGCTACGACCGGAAATCTGAATGACAAAGTAGATAACATATTGGAACACACAAATCCTTATTTGTAGGCACCGATAATAAAAATTGATTCTGGACCGATTCTATTTTATTTATATGTACAGAATAATGAGACCACACAGTTGATGTATATTTTAGAATCGATTCAATATAGGCAAGATATACCGTTTTCAGCGAGGTTATGTTCTGGGCAATATAATTACTACTAATAAAATCCAGTAGTTGTAGAGACTAACTAATTATACAATTCATATGAGAAGTATAGGTTAGAGTTTTGTCAAATAAAACGCAGCTCATGAGCCTCTCATTTGAACAAAATATTCAATATAGTGATACACACGTTTACATACTAGAATGTTTGAAATACAAACTGAGTAGAGAAAAGGATCTTCTGTATAATTCAGTGTTCATATAGAAGTATTTGTTTCGAAATATCTCTGTAGTTTTATATTTCCATTATTGACATCATACTGATATTCTAGAAATTTAAATGTACTGAAGTCATATGTAGAGGTCTATGCATCTTGCAAATGAAGGGAAAAGTTTCTAGGGATTGATACAAAAATAAACATTAAAATCAAGTGTTACTAGGAAAATTCATATTTCAGATTTTAACAGAAGTTCCCATTCTCGATTTTATAATTCGAAGAAATAAAATAATAAAAATAACGAAATATACATATCATTAAATTCAACTTTAGATAAAACGTAAATTTATGAAATAGTAGATTAATTGTTTTATATTTAATTCAACCCTACGATTTTATTGTAATTATGATATTGCACAAAATATATAGCACTAATTGTAACAAAACGTTTGGTACCTAATACCAAAACAAGAAAATTTCAAGAATAAGAAAGAATGAATTATTTTTCTCATTCGTAAAACCATTTGTAACTTATTTATTCAGGCTTTTGTGACTATATGATTTGAAATTAATTACAGGGGATGCACTTCCCCGGCCCAGGAATTATAAATGTCCTGAACAAACTCAGAACTGGAGCCCGCCAAAAGGACCTGTGAAAAAGAAGGTGGTGAGTTATGAAAAGATCAAATGGACTGTAAACTTTTTTCAAACATATATGTCGCTGGGAAAAGATGGCATGTATCTAGTGAAGCTGCAAAAAGGACCAGAACTTGGAGACTGATTAGGGCCACCGACATACCCCTGGGAAAATTGAAAAGGATTCGGCAAAGACCTTAAGATCATTTGATTTAAAAACATCAGAAAAATTACTTAACAGACATATTAGGAACATAGCATTGGCTAAGAGACCACTAGACCGAGACCAATATGAGTACAGGTCACGTATTTCAACAAAAACGGCATTATGTCGTTTCTGTTGACATATCGGAAAAATCAGTATGTGCTTACAAGAACAAGGAAGTACTTGGGGAGGCGCATGCAGTAGGCCCTGAATATTATAACAAATTGGACCAAGGAAGAAGGGCCGAATATAAGCCGCATTCACCAAGAGAACCAAGACAGAAGGCCTCTAAACCTTCAAAGTGAACAGATACAGCTGTAGGAGGCGGTAAAATAGTTGGTAATTATAGTAGATCCCAAGCTGACCTTGAACCAACATCTGAACAGAGTTAAAAGATAGGTGGAGGTAGCAATGATGCTGGGGAAGTCAGAGTCGCACAGGCACCGCTCTGAGAGCGCCTTAAAGATTTTTCTGTCCTGTAGTACTTGTGTTTTGTCCTTAAAAACAAAAAAGAGTGGGCCTATTCAGACTGGAAAACCCACCGACCTATATGGGATGGGTCAAAACAGAAATTTGGGAATATGTGAAGGAACTAACATCCAACATGTTCTCAGACCATATGTCGTCACAAACTACGCCGTTGAAGTCTTAGAATTCGAATATTGGAGAATGAACAGTTATCCTGGCATAAACACCACGGGTCAATAACCGATCATACCAAAATCTTAGGTATGTAACCAGATTGGAAAACGGGCCTAAAAGAAACAAAGTGTTCTGGGAAAACACACCTGGGAAAACCTTTATAAAGGGACCGTCCGAAAAGAGAACCGGAGAACAGCTTCAACAAAGCAGCAATCGTCTCAGAATAATTACAGGGGTACTCACAGGACATTGTTCATTAAGTGGATTCCTGAACAAAATAGGGTTGTACAACAGAGACCACAAAGCTTGTGCAATAAAATCCAAAACTTGCTGTGAGGAGACCATCAAAGAGAAATATTTTCCCGACTCGAAGATGACAGATGATTTGTTCATAACTGAAGATTTTTCTTCAGATTATATCCGACAAGTGCACTATTATCGAGGAAAAGGAAACTCTTAATAACATTATTGAATGAGAAAATAAGTTTTCTAGAAAAAAAGTTACAAAACTACGAAAATAATACCAAATCTATTACAAATAAACAAATGATATAGGACAAAGACTCGAAACAAATCGCAAGTGAAATTCTGACAGTTCAAACAACGTAGAAATGTAACGGCAGCTGATTAACGGAAAAACAGATTTTAAACAGATTTAAACGATATCATCAATTTAGGAGGCGATTTTCGAAACGGTGCAGGTGCAGTTTCCTACCATCCTGAATCAAGTCTTACTGGAAATGACAATTCAAACTGGCAAACGGTCCAACGGATAACATCTCTCAAGCGCAAGATTGGTCAGTCAGAAGATGATAGTAAATTCAAAGGAGCTAAACCCAGAATTTGGATGTATATTCATAGAGTAGACGAAGAAGTTACCGAAGAAGATATCAAATCATTTCTGTGAAATTCATCATGAAACATTGTCAATCACCTTCAAACCAACTAACCTACATTTTAATTTTAGCAACATATTTAAAAGATTTTAAATTTAGAAATCACACATTAAAAGGTAAAACCTCGTTAGTCCTTAACTCGCACAAGTTTCTCAAATTCTGAGAGTTGTCGTTCGTATGGGGGCGACAGCTGATTAACGGAAAAACAGATTTTAAACAGACAGACAGATTTAAACTTATATTCTTTATTTATTTTTCATAGTAGATGAATTTTATCTCTGATCAAGGATTTCTGTATTTGTGACTTGCCATAAATGTACAACTGTACGTAAAATGGTCAAGTAAAGTAATCTACTCTACTCTATTTTCACAAAAAACCTTTTCACTACTATTTCACCATTTTTTAACTGTGACTTGTCACAAATGTATTTTGTGTACAAGAGGCAAACAATATATGAACAACTCGAATTGTGTCCAGAAGAATATGACATACAGCCAGCAAGAGACTTGTACAGAGTAGTACAGGAAACAAGATCGTTTGAAAGGGTCTCATGAAAAAGATGAGGGAAAAGCTCAACAAGTCCTTGATGATGCAGTGTTTTCCTGAGACCTAAAGGAAACGGATATCAGACGGTTCTCAGGAAGCGAAAAAAGAATTACAGCAAGAACTTGTATATATAAGGTATAGATCAGTACTAAAAATAAGATTGATATTGATATTGAAATGTCCACGTTTGTTTCGGATTACAAAATATTAACACAGATTATTATTGAAATTTTTCAAAAATTTTGATTGTTTTATAATAACATGGACAAAATGTATCCTTTCTTTCTGGCACCCATGCTTATGGTTGAATATATTCACAGAAATGACAAAATTTGATTAAAAAGTCCAAGGACTCTTTCACGACCCCACAACCACAATTTAACAATACATCATATGAGAAAAATATTTTTAGCATTTACTTACCTATGAGTGTTGAAAAAGACTCTCCATGAATTTCAGAACTGAAAAGGAATCTCCATTCCAACTGATACTGCTGAGGAAGATGCGCATTTATGAACACAATCTGATTCAAATCAAGAAGACTTGGATAAGAAGGAATCAGATCCAATCCTCGACAAAATGGAACTAAGCTACGATCTTTCTCTTTTTCATTGACGTGAACCTGTTCATCGACAGGTACTGATCCTAAAATAAATAAGATACATGACAGAGGCCCAATGAGTTGAAAATTGTATGACCTAACTTGAAACATGAATTCTAGATTAACGCTTCATTATTGGGATTTCAATTTATACATGCAGCAGATCTCAGGATTTAGGGATTGTGTGTTGACTGATTAAAAAACGATGTACTTGTGTAGGTACTCTTTTTTTTTTTCATCCAATACGNTATTAATTATTAAACATAACTGAACAATCCATCATTAATGAAACGGAAATATTATTATTTCTTGCAGATGAATATAGATTTTTTATTATTTGTTCATGTAATAAATACAACTTCTGACTCCAATACAGCATGGTTTCCGGTGTAGTAAATCAACTCAAAGTGCCCTACTATCTTTGTATTATGATTCAGGCACGTGTCCCGCTGTAGTTTTTATGTGACTCGACCAGAGCTTTTGACTGTGTTAATCATGCCACGCTATTAAACATTTTGGATCGTTATGGAATAAGGGGAATTCACATTCATGGGTTTCATTTTTTATCAGCAACACAATGCAATGTGCTTATTTGTTTTCAACATTAGAAATGAGGTCGGCCCAATAGGGAGTACCCCAGAGATCTGTACTTGGGCCACTCTTATTTCTATTATATATCAACAATAGAAAAATACCATATTTTGCAATTACTGCCTATGCAGATGATACAACTCGGAATGCTATGTTTGATTCCAATCTTGTTAACTTTATATTTCTAAATTCATTAGTTCCTTAAAATAATAGCATTTGTTTCAGATGGCGCCACAGTACGAGCTATTTTCATGGCAAAAACATCAAGAACGAACGTCAAAGTACTAGATGGCGTGCGAAATGGCATCAAACGAGTTTATCACAGCCACTGTGTTACCATCCTTTTATCTTTATACTATGATATATCTGAATAGAGCATGCGATATTCTTACATAACTGGAAAAATCTCCTATTACAATGATTGAATCTGCAGTTAATTCAATTGCAATGAAGAATAAGAATGCAAGTGATTTCTATCGCAATAAAGAATTAGACCATTTGTTGTGGTCTATTTGCCGCGTCCATTATTGAGTTAAGTATGAAACTTGAGGGGTTTCGATTGTTGGGTTCATGTCGAGCATGACCAAGATACCACAAAACACTCGGAACGTGCGCACATATTCCTAAAGTCCTGGAACCGGTTTTACAAGTACAATAATATCCTAATATGGGCTCGTTTGGTTCATCATGTGTTTTTTGTAGCAATTTTCGTTCCAGCTGAGCATTGGCACCTGTTATTGAAACTGGGGTGTGAAAGCTGTTAATGAGTGCACCAGCGATTTGATATAAATCGCTAAGATTGTAGACGTGTGGCATTTCGATCGTTTTAGCAAAAAACTTAAACATACTTTTCAAATGTCCATTCTCTAAACTCATTGAAATGGACATCACTAATCAGCTCTCATCATTCTTGTGGAGTCAGAGACTGTTATCCAGAAATCAACATGGATACTGTAAAAATATGAGCACAGAATCTGCTCTGTGTGATTGTCAAAAATATCTTGTAGACAACCTTGAATCATATTTGAATGGCAGAAGTCAGGCTGTTAGACTGAATGAAGTTCTGAGTAGTTACTGTGAAATAAATCGAGGTGTACCTCAAGGATCTTAATTGGGACCTTTCAATAAATTTGTAAATGATATAATTCGTCTAATGGAAAGAAACCACCATATAGAAATAGTGTGTTATGCAGATGATACCAATTTACTAATTTTTGAAAAAAGCATAGACATGCTACTGAGTAAAACTGAAAAGATTTATGAAGATATTCGTTTGTCTGAAAAGAATTGTCTGTTACTGAATCATAACAAAACAACAAAACAGTCACAGTATTTTTTGGGCGCTCCAAACAAAGGTTACCTGTGCTATTCAAAAATACAGAAAAAGAAATAACTTGTAGTGATGAGGTGAAACTTTTGGGAGTAATTTTCGACAAACATTCGGGAATATTGCTAGCAACTCTTCCCTAAAAATCTGACACTCAATATTAAGAAATCTTACGAAAATAGACATTTGTTCATCATCAATATCAAAGGATTCATCAAGCGCTATGGCGTAGCAAGGTTCCTTTTACGGGAGTAAAAGGAACACAGATGTAGCGCTGCATCTGTGTATTTTTATTGCTCGCTTATGCAACGAACTAGAAATTTTGTGCTTTTTTTTTGTGAGAACTGAGGTATGCATGAAGTTTTTCTTTACGATCCTTGCTGCCAAGAGGAAAGTTTTTGTAAAGTTGCTGATGAGTTGTTGGAACCGTTTGAGACCTATTAAGCAGCGTAAAACAATATTGTTCAGTCCACAAAAATATTATGAAAACGCGAAAAATCACAAAACAAATGAAGGTTGCTCCGATGTTTGCGCTACGACTGACAGTCTGCTTCTCCCACCCAGACGCCCGCACCCCCGATTTTGATACTCGTTCGCGCTTGTTACAACAAAAATAGTGGCAAACGCGCACAAACACACATACACACAGGGTGAATAGGAAACTAATAAAATCATAAAACCACATCAGTTGTAGGTATAGTCGAAGTAACCGATATAGTAATTCTTAAAGCTATTGGCGAACTCAAAGGTCAAAAAAATCAATACAAAGAATTAATGCCGCTACGAATTAGTCCACGTGGACTGAAGAATTCGCGGTACTAACAGAGTTTTATGATTGGCTGAAGAGTCATAACATTAAATTTGGCGAGGATGGTTAGAAGAGTCGTGTTGTCAATGTTCAGTTCAGGAACGATCGCGATTTGAGTGTTGAAATTCGATATTGGTGAAGTTATAATTACTTAAAATTTTTGTTAGTTGTTTAAAATGTGGCGTCCTTGGACAAGTACTAATAGTAATAACGAGTGTGATAACAACGCAGACTTTTTCCTGTGTAGTGATTCCAATAGCGCTGGTGAACAACATCAGATTTGACCGAAATTCCTTCCTCAACTGTACGTAAAATAGTCAAAAACTAACCTTATGAACGCAAGACGCGATTTGATGCGGGATTACCAAAACCTTTAGATGTTCATCTAATAAAATTACTAAAAAAACAATATACGTACTGTTTCAAAAGCAATGAGATTCCTACAATTAAAATCATAAGGAAGAAATTGAATACTTCCGGCCATAACGTGAGCTGCTGTGACAAAACTCTTCAGAATTGGATAAAGAAACTAAGATTTAGATTTGAAATAATAAACAAACGTCAAGCAGTCATGAAAAGTAGATGAATAGTGGAATTGCGTAACAAATATTTAGAACAAATAACTTAATATAGACAAGAACAACGGCATTTGAACGAAACTTGGTATGACACTCACGACACAGCTACGAAAGGGTGGACTGATGGTTCGAGAACGTGTACGCCTAACATGCCTGCAAACAAAGGGCTACTAATCATTGTGCATTGCGGAGGAAGTAAAGGATGGGTTCCGAATTCTTTGAAATTATGTGGAAAAAACTTGTTGCCACCTGTTGGGCTAAATATTCAAGTGAGTTGCAAGTGACTTCTCTGGTTTGTCAACCCGTTTATACGCCAACTTCAAGTGTACACTTGTTTTATTACTCATACATATCTTTTCAATCAGCAATTTGAAATTGAAGTGCTCACTCACCTTTTTCTGTTGCTTGGGCACGATGGTGTTAATGGGAGGTATCCGTGATATATTCAAAATATGCTCTCCGGTCATCATGTACGCTTCAAACTTTGGTTGCCCCTTCGATTTATTCTCATTACCAGCTAACGGTTGCCATTGCAATCTCTCATTCTCTTCGAGCGATTGAACTTCCTGAAGATGGTTTCCGAGTAAAGGTTCGCGTTCTGGTTCAACATAACTTCCATTCGTAGTAGCCGCACCAGCTCGTGAAGCATGATGATGAGTCTTGTGGATAGAAGGTTCAGGTCTGGCCGACAGAGAGGCTGCACTAGAGGAGTGTAGAGAGGGGGTTTTGGCTGTTTTGTCTCTGATATCGCCTCCGCCACCAGTGAGGAGGTGTTTGCGAACAGTCGCTTTTATTTTCGGATCTGTCAAAAATAAAATTAGTTGATTGAATTTTCGAGCCCACATAAAATAGAAAGAAAGAAAATTATTCAATGAAACGACCATTGTGATGCCAGCAGACATTATTATCTAGCAACTAAAACATCAGTGGCGTTGGGAATGAATAAAAAATATTTGTCTTCATAAAATTCATATATAATGTGAAATAGAATTGTACCACAACTAATAGTTTGCTCAATTTAACAATCGAATGTCAAGAGACGGCATATTTTGTGATGGAATTAGGCAATGGTTTTTACTTGACAACATTTTCAAAAATTCGGTTTGTATTCTCAAAAATGTTCAGCCAGGGTTCATATTCGGTATAGACACTCCGAGTACAACAAAGAACAATTTACCAAAAGATGATTCATTTGGGAGTCGTCTGAGTGGTGGTTTATATTTGAACGAAATTTTCATTTATTCGATTTATATCTATAAAAACGTGTAACCAGGTTCATATTCGGTATAAACACTTCGAAACGTGTTAGGAATCAAACGTTAAAAGTTAAGACCTCGTTAGTCCTTAACTTGAACAAGTTTCCCATCTTCTGAGAGTTGTCGTTCGTATGGGGGCGACAGCTGATTAACGGAAAAACAGATTTTAAAACAGATTTTTTTTTAACAGAATAGACCGAAGAACGATATACCGAGAGATAATTCCGTTCAAAGGCTATTTTATATCTGAACGAAAATTTTGAAATTTCGGTATTGACATTTCGAATAGACCGAAGAATGATATACTAAGAGATGATTCACTTGGCACCCGTCTAAGGGGTGGTTTATACTGCAAAGCAATTTTCAAAAAATTTGTTTAATCCCCGAACATGTCTAGCCGGGTTCATATCCAGATGAAAACTTCTAATAGACGCAAGCGACAATATACAGGTTGGCCCACCACATTCGCCTCGGTATTTCCTCGAGAAATAAAGAGAGTTAGGGAAAAACTTCCAGCACAGGTATATGTGGTTCCATGAGGAGCATATTCCAAAATTATTTTGAAATATACAGCGTGACTCCCAAAAAAGTTACATAACAAAGATCAAAGTTATATTTTTTCTTATGGAACACCCTATATTTTTTTATATTTTTAGATACTACGGACGAAATGAAGGTGAGTTACTATTATATTTTCCATACTTAAAACTGACCGTTTCTGAGAAATTTCGAGAAATTAAAAAATACAGACCATAATTTAAAAATTGTGTTCACCCTGTAACGTGTAACGAGCTGCTCATGATTAAATGTACTGCTTAGCTCAAAGGTTAAAGTTAACTACCACATGAAATTTTTAATGCAATATTATTCCGAGTGTGAAAAAAATGTCCTTAAAATTTGGACACACATTTTATTAAATAACTTCTTAAAGTTGAATGGAACACCCCGTATTTGGTGGCGTAATTTGAGGCAAAAGTAGATTTCCTTGAAAACTATATTAGGGTTCCCTATACCTATCTCTTCTGGTTTTTACACAAAAGTCGATTTTATATTTTACTTATACGTAATTTTTTCATCTTGAAAACGGAACACCCTGTATTGTTATAAAAAGCAAAAAAAATTCTTGAAGTCATTTAATCGAAAAAATAAGAATCCTAAATAGTTAATTATTTCAATAAATGCTCAAAATGCATAGGCAACTCTTTCTTGAAATGAGTGCTGAACGAAACGCTCTTCTTATTCGCACTTTCATATCCTGAGGTGTCGTTGGCATTGTATATCGTGAACAATACTTTTGATATATCCCCAAAAAAAATAGTCGGGACTTGTGAGGTCCAGAGATCTGGCTGGCCAGTTCTGTAGACCTCCTCGTCCTATCCATCTATTTGGATATTGTCGATCTAACTCGTTTCTAACACGTCTATCAAAGTGTGCAGGAGCACCATCTAGCTGCATCCACATCCGTTGACGAATATTAAGAGGTATACTTTCCAACAGCATAGGCAAATTATCCCTAATAAATTCGAAAAACATGACGTCGTTCAAATGACCATCAAAAAATAAGGATCTACTACTTGTGTTCCAATTATTCCACCCCACACATTAACAGACCGTCTGTGCTGGTGATCAAGGGTTCTAAAAATATTAGGGTTTTCGTCACTGAAGTAGTGAAAGTTATGTCTGTTAACTAATTCGTTGTTATGGAGAGTCGACTCGTCGGAAAAAAGCACATAATCAAAAATATTTTTCTTCATCACCAAACTTTTCTAATACCCATAAACAAAAATTCAGTCGTCGATCATAATCTTCTTCAAAGAGCTGTTGATGTAGTTGAATGCGATACGGGTGGAATTTGTAATTTTTAATTATTCTTTGGATACTCTGTCTGCTATATTTATTTATTTCCACACAGGTACATCTCGCGACAAGATTTATTATTTTTATAAATGGTCTAATGTAATAATATACAGGGTGTAACATAAGTACGTTAAAATATTCAAGTGACGTATTCCTGAAACAATTTTAAGAAAAAAGTCTATATGAACTTGTGTCCGAAAATAATTCGTTTCGGAGATACGGGGTGTTGAAATTTAATTTTTTTGTTCGCTTTTTGAAAACAACTCTTGCAAAAAATAAGTTATTTGCACGAAATTCGGTACCCGGTTTTTTTGACGTGTGGTAACATCTAGAGGGCGCTGCGCACGCTGTCATTATTTATTTCAAATTGCCCTAACTTTTTTGACAGAAAACTTTTGGTACTTTCCATGAAAAAACCTAGTTCCCACACCTTTTCCAAGTAAAAAAAGGTACAACGCTGGAGATGATAGTTTTCGAGATTTTTACAATTTTCTATATCGATGCATATTACTTTGGAACCAAATTTGATTTCAAATCGCTTGCAAATTGAGTTAATTAAATCGAGTAGGCTATGAAAGTTTATTCATAAAAATAGAAGTTCGCTGTCACATTTTTAAGTAGTAATTGACAAATTCACAGTTCGGAGTTCATAAAGTGATTTTTTTGATACCATGCCCGACTCTACGAATGCTGAAATGGCTGATATGGCTTTTGCATACGGCTTGGCTGATGGAAATTCAAGCGAGGCCAGAAGCATCTATCAAGAAAGGTATCCCCAACGCGTGACTCCTTGTGCAGCGACATTTGCAAATCTTTTCCGGCGACTTTCCGAATCTGGAAGCTTTGAAACAAATTTTGCAGTGATACGGCCACGAATTACAAGAATTGTAGAATTGGAGGAGGCGGTTTTCGAAGAAATCAGTGAACATCCAAAGACAAGTACAAGAAAAATTAGTCAAACTTTAAATGTGAGTCACATGACAGTTTACAGAATTTTAAAGGAACAGCAATTATATTCTTATCATATTCAGCGTGTCCAGGCACTTACGCTACGTGATTTCCAACCACGTATCGAATTTGCTCAATGGCTTCAAAGAAAAGTCGAACAACATCCGCAAATTTTATCGAAAATCCTCTTCACAGATGAGGCTAATTTTTCAAGAAACGGTATCATGAACTTCCATAACAACCACATCTGGGCGGAAGATAACCCACATGCGATAACGCAAACTCATTTCCAATACAGATTCTCTTTTAATGTATGGGTAGGCATAATTGGGGATTATTTAATTGGGCCCTATTTTTTCCCCTTACGTTTGAATGGAGATGCTTACCTACATTTTTTAGAACACGATATCCCTAACTTATGGAAGATGTTCCCATTGGTCTCCAAAATCACTCTTGGTTTATGCACGATAGAGCTCCTGCTTATTTTAGCTTGATAGCAAAAAATTTTTTAGACGTAGCATATCCCCAACGATGGATAGGAGGAGGAGGAGGCACTGAGCATTGGCCCCCGAGGTCACCGGGCCTCAATCCCTTCGATTTTTTCTTTTGGGGACACCTAAAATCACTAGTTTATGCTAGCCCCATTGAAAACGAGGAAATGTTGAGGGATCGCATCATAGCTTGCTGCGAAACGATGAAAAACACTCCGGGCATTTTTCAACGGAAGCGGAATTCTTTGATGAGGACAGCAGAAGCTTGTATTACTGTTGGGGGTCGTCACTTTGAACAGTTGTTGTAATAGTTGTTTCGTTCAATTTTTATATGTTTATTCTTCTAATAAATAACATAGTTCTTCTCCGAATTGTTTTTTTTTCACAAACTCCGAAATGTAGCACATTCTAATTGAATAATTAAACCTGACAATTTTTTTAAATTTGGATCGAATAAGCAGTTCGATAATGCTCAGTTTAGAAGAAGTCTGTACGGGTATACTGCGTATAAAGTTTGATGAAAATAACTAAAATTGCAAAAAACTTATGACAAAAACCTACCATGTTTTGAAATATTTCAACAATCTGTATTTCGAAAAAGAATCATTTTTCTTTAATCATTTTACAGGAAAAAGTTGTTTATTTTGACGAGCTCCACCACATACTTAGTTTTTGTAATGTTCTCAGCAACTTCACTTAGCGCCCTAGGAGCTAAGTAATATGCATCGATATAGAAAATTGTAAATATCTCGAAAACGATCACCTCTAGCGTTGTCACCTCCAGTTTACTGTCAAAAAAGTTAGGGCAATTTGAAATAAATAATGACAACGTACGCAGCGCCCTCTAGATGTTACATAAAAATTAATACGAAATTGTGATTTCCCACGTCAAAAAACACCGGATACCGAATTTCTTGCAAATAACTTATTTTTTGCTAGAATTATTTTTAAAAAGCGAACAAAAAAATTCAATTTCAACACCCCGTATCTCCGAAACGAATCATTTTCGGACATTGAAGGCAAAAAACATTTGAATTACTTTAGGAATATTGACTGCATCAGTCGTACCAATCATATCATTAACCTTAAAAACGTAAAATACAGTGATATGTAACCAAAAAGCAGCTCCGTACATTTTTTAACATTTTTATAAGAAAAATGTTGATTATTGAAGTGAAAAGTGTTAAAGAAGGAGGAATAAGGTGTAAAGGTGACCTAGTGAATAAATGCTTGTGTTTTTAAATAGTTTA